CCATGCCGCAATCCCTTCTCCTCCATTTTCTTCTCAGGATCTTGAGCACGCACGCACACGTGCCCAACGTTGAGTTTAAGCCACTGGGTCCAGGACTCGAACCACAGTCGAGTACATGGGAGTCCAGCGACATAGCCATTATGCTAACTGCTGGTCCTGAGAGGATGACTCATAAGGTAAACAGACTGATTGCATAAAATAAAAATAAAACTTGGTGTTTTTCAGAAAATAATGCAAACAGAAACTAGGAAGAACATTAACAACACATCAAACTAGTGTACAAAATATTTTACAACAAACACTAAGAGCATAAAAAATAAATAGGAACAAATAATTCATAAGAGATATACAGAGACCATCAGATGGGGTAGTAGTTACGTTGCTGGACTCCCACATGGCTGGCTGCAGTCTGAATGCAGGACTTGGTGGCTTAAAAATCATACCGGGTACATGTGCCCAAGATCCTGGGAGCAGAATGGAGAAGGGACTGCAGCGTGGCCATCCCCCCTGGGGACGATTTCTCATTTTCCCTCTTACCGTGTCTGTCTCTCTCTTAGGATGTGTGAAGCACATACACCCTAAGGCAAAGACCTTTCAAAAAGAGAAAAAAAGAGAACTACAAATGCCTAAGAAACACAGAAATAGTCATCCTCATAAACAAAAAGAGTAAATTAAAATATCGACAGGCTACTTTTCACTTAATGAAGTAAAGCTTTTTATGGAAACAAATACCCGCTTTGGTTCTATGATACAGGTGATCCCTGTGAACTCCTGGAGGAATACAAACAAGTACTTCCAAACAGAGCACTGTGAACTGTACCGAGACACCCAGAGTATGAGCAGGTGTAACACAACCCATGATCCATCCTCAGCCTTAGACTACTCAGGCTGTGTCCACCCAGGGGTTTGTCACTTGCACAAAGATACCTTCTAGGCTAACAGAGGTCCTGCCTCATAATGTCTTAAAAGCATTCAGAATCTCTGATACACATGGCGCACATTGAAGGAAATACATCCAGATGTGACGATGTGGACTATGCTTTAAGATGTTCACTGTAGTGTTATTTCTCATAGTGAAAAGTGCTTAACAGCAGGGAATGATTGATTTATAATACCCTTATTTAGTGGTTCATTATAAGCCACTAAAATGTTTACAAATGATTCATGATAGCATTTTACATGGTTATATTATAATGCTAAATGAAGAAAGGAAGCAGAAATGATCTTATCAATATAAAGATAATCTGTACATGGGAATAGAAAAATAATGGAAGAAAATGTCACCAAATGTTGACAGTCCCCCTAGGGTGGTGCTATTATAGGTATACAGGTGGAACATCCTCAATTTGAAAATCTGAACTACGAAATGCTTCAAAGCTTGAAACTTGGAGTGTCCACATAATGTCACAAGTGGAACAATTTCACATCTTACCCTTGAAATGGGTCATGGCCAAAACACAGCAACATCCGATAAAGTTACTTGAGATTATGTGATAAGGTATGAATAAAGCGTAACTGAGTTTTGTGTTGAGACTTCGGTCCCATTCCCAAGCGATGTTACCATGTATACACAACTATTCCAACATCTGAAAATATTCAAAATTTGAAACACTTCTGGTCTCAAGCATTTCAGAAAAGGGATATACAGCTTGTATATGTATTTATAATATACACATATATGGAGGGCCAGCTGGTGATGTGGATGTTAAAACACGGGATCCCACATGGCTGACTGTATGGTTTGAGTCCTAGACCAGTGGCTTGAAAATTATGCTGGGCACGTATGTGTGGGTGCCTAAACTCCTGCAAGGCGAATAGAAGGGGAGGGATTGCAGAGTGACCATGCCCTGGGGTCAAGGGGCTGCTTTCTCACTTTTCCTCTCTCTTTTTCTCCCTCTGTCTCTCTCCAACGAACACACATGCCCGTATAGCAAATTTTGAAAAGCAAAAGTTCATGGAAAACAGAATTAAAGTACAAGGGGTGCAAAGAATTTTGGAAATCCATCCATAGCTTTTTCATAATATTCATGTTCCTCCTCACACACACGTCCTTCCGTAGACAGATGGGCGTGGACAGTGGCACAGCGGTAGACGCCATGCTCCGTGAGGCTCACCCAATGCTCCGTGAGGCTCACCCAATGTTCTGTGAGGCTCATCCAATGTTCTGTGAGGCTCATCCACATGCTCTGGCTTGTATCCAGAAAGCAGCCTGAGCATGATGGGCATGTGTGTGCCCACGAGCTGGGGCTGGCTAGAGCCAGGGCTGGCTGGAGCCAGGGTGGATCATGGCATGAAGACCGTGTTGGGGGTGCAGTCTCTCAGTCTGTCTTTCTCATTCATGGAAGAAAGGAAGAAGGAAAACTTTAAAAAAAAGATTTTTCTTTCCTTCCACTTTAGTGTGGTTTCTAGTATCCTGTTTGTGTGTGTGTTTACTAATTTTATAATCAGGAAAAAATATTTACTTTTTGAAAGTGTTTTTATTTGGAAATAATTTTATTTTTTAACAATAGTTTTATTGTGATATAATTTATGTACCATAAAATGCACCCCTAAACGTGTACAACTCAATAGTTTTTAGTGTATTTATGGGGAAACAGTTATTTTATATTTCAAAGAGAAGTCCTGTACTCTGTTTTGCAATTACGTATTGTAAGAGAAAATGAATTTGCATAATGCACATAAATGTGGGTGTACATGTGTAAATGGACACAAACACTTGGAGCTGATGACTAATCCCAGGCAGAGGCTCAGGGCACCTCAGTCAAGGGAAGGCCGCATGGACTAGGAGGAACAGGCCCCTGCCACATGTGCCAACCGGTAACACCACGTGGTTATCCATCCTGGTGCTCGTTTCGGTTTATCATAAATATTTCACGTATTCAGAAAGATGTAAGCCATATGACACATTTCACCTACCATCAGACTTAACCCATAAAACATCTGAAGACAAGCCTTCTGTGCCTTCTCCCCGTCCTCACTGTAATCCGACAGCCACTCCCATGCTGGGGAGACTGCCCTGAATCTGGTACACATTCTGTCGTGCATGTCGTGGTCCTTTCTCTCTGTGACCTCAGACCTGCCTCAGAACTCCTAAACAACACCAAGTCGTACAGCTTGAAGCCGGCTGTGCTTGCACGAGACTTGGCACGCTGTTTTTCCTTCGTCCGTTTGTCTGCTTTCAGTTTGCTAAAGAGCATGTGCACTAGCTGGGGGGGAAGGAAGACAAAATGAAAAAGCACCCCAGGGGGATGGTCCCTTCTCCCCTCTCCTCTCGGGACTTTGGGCATGCGTGCACATGCACCTGGCACCTGGCGTATTTTTCAAGCTGCCAGTCCAAGACTCAAACTGCACAGTTGGCCATGTGGGATCTAGCTACCTTAAAATCATTGCCCCCTGCTGGCCCTAGGAGTTGGTATGTTTTTAAATTAAAAGTTTACAGCAGGGGCCAGCTATAAACTGGTCATTGAGGAGCTCGACTCCCATGTGACAGATTGTGGCTTGAGTACCGGACCTGAGAGGTTGGCCACATCGCACTCCCTTCTCCTCCCTTCTCCTCTCGGGATCTTGGGCACGCACGCACACGCGCCCGGCGTGAGTTTTAAGCCACCGGGTCCGGGACACGAACCACGGTCGACTACGTGGGAGTCCAGTGACATAGCCATTACGCTAACTGCTGGTCCCATCTTTTCCCTTTCATTTTTTGACATCCCAAGTACAGACAGCACAGAAAAGCTGAACACATCCCCAGGAGAGATCATGTCCATGTTTTTTCAAAGGCTGAGTCCTACCT